TATTTGATTTTGTTTTTGTTTTTTTGTTTTTTTTTTTTTTTGGTAATGGGGATCGAACTCAGAACCCTGCACTTGTGAGGCAGGTGGGGGCACCACTTAGCTAAATCCCTGGGTCCAGTATTTGATTGTTCTTGATGCTACTGTGAAAGGTATTGTTTCCCTAATTTCTTTCTGGGGGAAAATATTATTGGTATCTTATTCCTGGGTTGAAGGAGCTGATCAGATATTTTAAACTTAGGAATTTCAACTTGTGAGTGAAAAGATCCCTGATTTAAATGTATAAAGGAATTATTTGAGGAGCATGTGTGTGAATGAAGAAATTTGTCTTTTTCTCATTGGACCCTTGCCTTTTCAGAATAACCAGTTTTTCCTCTGGTGCTATGGTTTTTAGAGTTGGGATGTCCTAAATCTTCACAAACACTCCCGTGGTTAAATCAGTTGAGTTTAGAAGGAGCCAGACCTGTGCCTCTCCAGTGACCTGTAATGTTCAGGATGGTGACAGGTGGCAAGGATTGGCACCATCATCAGTGCTATTTTTATGAGCTCTCAAGAAATTAGAAATCTGTGGTTTTCGATGTCTATTACAAGGAAGATGTAAGTTTCTATTTGTAATAAGCTAGAAAATGAAATCAATGATGGCAAACCTTTTAGAGCTTTCAGTGATAACAAACATCCTGTTGTGGCATGTGTGCCACACTGCTCTAAGAAAATAGAAAGAAGAGCCAGGCGTGGTGGCACTGGTGGCGTACACCTATAATCCCAGTACTCGGGAGGCTGAGGCAGGAGGATTGCTGTGAGTTCAAGATCAGCCTGGGCTACATAGTGAGTTCTAGGTCAGTCTCAACTACATAGTGAGACCCTGTCTCAAAAAACCAAAAAAAAAAAAAAAAAAAAGAAAATAGAAATAATAAATAACAGCACAAACAAAAAAATCAAAGTCTGATGAAAACAAAATTTGAATAAACTAGGCTATATTTTTGCAGTGAAATACTAAATAGTGAAGAATGATGTTCTGACACACAAAACATAGAAGCATTTCAGAAACTGCTGAATACAAAAAGTCAGACATGGAAGAGTACAAGCTATATGATTGCATTTAAATGAAATTCTAAAACATTTAAGCCCATATCTTATATAATAATCAGACCAGTAGAATCTTAGTTTGGATCTGTTTGACTACAGAGAGGAATGAGGCAACCAGCTGGAGTGATAAAAGAATTTTGGAACCTCTGGGTGTGATGGCCCATACCTGTAATCCCAGCACTCAGGAAGCTGAGGCAGGAGGATTGGTGTGAAATTGAGCGCAGCCTAGGCTACGTAGTGAGTTCAAAGCCAGCCTCAGTTACAGAGTAAGACTCTGTCTTGGTGGGGGTGGGGTGCCGTGGCAGTGGTGCAGGGTGCATTCTTGAACAGCTGGATTACATAATGTACCTACTCAAGGAATTATGCCATTAAAATATAGACTCTCATTGATTATGTTATATGTTTTAAAAAATTCTTAAAATTAATCAAGAGGTTAGTAGCTAGGCCTGGGGATGCAGCACAATGGTAGAAGACTTGTCCAGTATGTGCTAGACCCTGGGTTCAATCCCCTGTGCAGTCTTTCCAAAGTCAACACAGCCCCAAACTCTGCACTCTTTTGGTAGAGGGGGGGTTTCCACACATAACTTTTCTTTGTAGCCCTTCCTACTAGCCCTTCCTAGTAATCTTCGATTACCATTGCTGTGGACAGTGCAGCTTGAATAGAAATTCCTTCACTAAAATAAAACACACTGCATTTGGTGGGATGTATGGAATGTTATATATATGTCCAGAAGCTAGACAGCACTTGGGATGTTTGTCTTCTAAGAATAAAGGTGAGACTGGGGATTTAGCTCAGTCGTTCCGCTGCCTGCTTTGCAAATACAAGGTCCCGAATTTGATCCCTGGTACCCCAACTCTGCCAGAAAAAAAAAAAA